AACAAGGGCAATTCCTGGTGGCGGAGAAGTATTATCAGCAGGCGGTAGAAAGAGTGAGTGCAATCCTAGGAGAAGACCATCCCGATTCTATTCGATGCGTGGGGCTTTTAGCAGGGTTGGAAGAGAGAATATCAACCGGCGAAGAGCCCAACATCATTGGTTGTGAAGTGGACAGCCTCGCAAGCCTTCAAGCATCTGCAAACATCGGAACCGAAGTCACAAAAGTCAGGTTGGAAGTCAGGGCAAAGGCCGGGGTTAATAGAAGCGGTACCCCGGACAAGCCGGGCTGGGCTGTTAGGCTAATGCAGAGAATGAGTTTGTTGGGTGAAGGTCGGAGACGTTGAGGGAGAGAAAACTCTAGGAGTTCCGTAAAGCTGCATGTAGAATCTCAAGGGACTCCACATAATTAAAGTTTTGGTGGTGGATTCACTCGTAATCACAACACCCTTCCGTTGTCTTCAGAGTCCTGTGCTATTTCGGGCGGTATATGGGGAAATATCTTCCAGGCTCCTACCTAAACTCTTTGGAAGTCGCAAAAAGACCAAACTACTTTTGAAGTCCATTGTTTGTGTTATCATGCCCCCCCCCCCCGGTCACTCCCCCACAACTTCCAAACCCGTGATCCTGCCCTAGCCCCAGCCTGCATCCTTAAAAGCGGTAAAAAAAAATTCGGGAGACGGGTGCATATATCATACACCCTTGGTGCCAGCAGTGCAGAAAATCCCTGACTTAACCCCGGGAAGCCTCCAAACACGAGAAATCGCTCCATACTTAACTCGGTTGCGAAAGGCTAGGCTATTCCGTAAACAATCGGGAAATTTGTGGCACCGCGGTCGCGCAGGGGGTAGGCTCCAACTGTAAGTCCCAAGGGAAAGGATTAGCTGGAGGTACCATACCGGCACAGTACCGCTTCCACTCATACATGATCACTCGCGAGCCCCCCGCCTGCTACCGAAAAGCTCGAATCAGGAAACCGAAACAAACGTCTCGTCCTTAGAGTTTCCTCCTCTCGTAAGGTCTGATGAACCCCTCTAATTCGTTTTATTTTTATTTTTCATGACTCTCAATAGGGCTGAACAGCTGTTTTTTTTTTTTGCAATGTTTCAATCATTCGGGTTTCTTCGCATCGGCGGTGGACTTTGCGCATTGGGAGCTCTTGTGTCCGGGAACGGTATCTGGGTTTCTGATCTGTGGCTTATCACTCTCCTCTGCACCTTACATGCGGGCGAACAAGCAACCTGATATACATAAGTGGGAAGAAAACCCCCGCGTTCCTTTTCTGCTCTTCTCCTCTTCCGTTCTCTGCTCTTCACTTCCCAACTTCTCACGTATCCCAATACTGCCTGCCTCTCCTCACCTCACCGTCTCTTATCTCTAACCCCTCCTCCGCATCCCTTCAGCAGGATAACGAGGCGTCACAATCATCAGTAAATAGAACCATCATCTATCGTTTCACAGACAAATGAAATACAAAGAATAGGTGCAAACTTCCTGAGGCATGAACTAAAGCTGTTTAGTCCTAACGGACAAGTGAGTACCGGTGATTCGCAAGAGTCCTCTCCCTCGGGCCTGATCTATTGGGTAATATCATAGCTTCGGAGATACGACTCTTAGTCGGTTGTGACAGTACGGTCTGTCACCAGTAGTGTTCCCCACGAGCTAAGCCCAAGCGCTTCAAATTTTTTAATTTTTTAATTCTTCAATCCTAACTTGCCATTTCTTCTTTTTTTTGGGGGGGGGGGGCAGAGAATTGGTAAGGGAGGGGGAGGGGAGAAGACAGGAGGAGACGGGGTTACCGGGATTACGTGGTATCTTGAAAAAATCCTAGGGATGCAGGAAGGGGGAAGAAGATTTAAATTTCCCGTGCCCGCGAAACGTTCGCACACACCACCGGTGGCCCAACCGGGAGTGCAGGCCCAATTTTGCTCCCAAAGAGTTGGCTAGACTTGGGAGAGGTTGGGGATTGGGATATCGAGCTAGATGCTACGTAGAAGGGAGTTGCACGCGGGGGAGGGCGATCGAGTGTTCCGTAGGTGGGCAGCGCCCAATTGATTTCTACTAGCCAAGGGACCCGTTTGCGGCGAGTTTGGAGATTCGGTTCTGTGCATCTACTCAGGTCCTCTGAATACCGTAGCTCCACCTATGGCTACCGGTAGTTTGACTGATTGAGCGGGTGGTACCATGTGACTAACAAAACCAGGCCGAGCTGGCTCGTGAGGAATCGTATCCTGCTACTCGGTGATATTCTTGATCCCTGTCTCGTTTGTTTGGGTCTTTTACATTCTCTGTTCCTTAATTTGCACCAACAAAGCATATCGTACTCCCCGGCCCAAAGTCTCGGAAGCCGAGTGCCCAGCTCTGGCCGATGCCAGTTTATATCCATAACTCGTCCCTCCAATATGTGCAGTGAATAGAAGATGGATTCGTGGTACAGTATTGAGAGCACACCTCTCCTGGAGCAGCCCACAGGGGCACTGGGTACTTGAACAAATGCCGATTTTCTTCGCTACGGTATCGGGTGTCGTCAGGCGGGGAGATAATCACGGCCCATAAAACAAACAACTCTCCGTAGACGGATTTTAGAGGGGCTGGAATAAAGAGGCGGGGTGGGTGGGCATTGGTTGGAGCGGTAGAGGGCGGCGCGCGGATATAGGTGGGGGTTGGGGGTGAGATGTTGTGATAATTATATCGTTTGGGGAGATGGAGGAATGACATTGGAGGCGATATTCTCCATGGCCGATGAATGGGAGTCGGCTCGCCCTTGGGTCTCGGGAGCAAAGTGCCACAGCACGTACGGTACCGTAGAGTATCATATTCGTACGGGGGAGTTACCAGTATGCCGTGATACGTCCCCTGTCCAACATGGCACACCAAGGTCACCAACCCCGGCCAATGGTGAGACGGCCCTGCCTTTCGTCGTCCTCACCGCGTCCTGGACGGACTGGAAGGGTGGAAGCACTGACCGTTGCCGGGGACTCCTCCAGTGCCACTCGTGTTTGCGGTCTTAGTTAGCGCCTCCGATGGCTGATGGCCATCAAATGCACCCTCAACCGTTGCAATTTCTGTTGGGCATTGGCGCTGGTGGAAGGCTCGCGGTGGGGGAATGGATCGCGCGCCTGGCCTAACTTTGTCGAGCACTCCCCCTGACCAACACGGGTTCCTCGGGACGGTCAAAGGGGGGTTCAAGGGGGGAAGGGGGTTTAGTACACCGGTACTCGAGTACTGGTATCATACATGCCGGTGCACCATCACCGGATTGAATGATAAATATCGTGAACCTTGATACCAAATTTTGAACCATGAAAAAAGATGACTCCGTCAAACTTGCGGCAAAAGTTCTTAGGGCATACACTCCCACACCATCCTCGAGTACCGGTATATCATAAAATGGTCTAAGTTAATGTGTGATATCACTTCCACCGGATGCCGGTATGTTGGGCCTCTTTCACACGGTATAATAGTCGTTCAAGCGATCCAACCGCTGTATGAGTACGGCGTTTTTTCTAGATCGGCGAGGGGGCTACGGTACGTGTATTCCGAGAGGGGCGCGCATTCCCGGCTCGGAGGTACGAGTACACAGTGCTTCCAGTCGTCCCGTCCGTCCAAGACGGGGTGAGGACGACGAAGGACGAGACTGTCTCGTCCTTGGACAGGACGGACTGCCTTGGCGCCGTCCTGGACGGGGTGGACGGCCGCCGACTATGGACACGCAAAGTTGCGCAATGGGACAAATACTAGTACCGGTACCTAAACAAGTTAAGAAATAAAAACAAAAAAATAAACATAAAAAAGAGCTGGCGCTTGAGCATCCTACCAGGGGTAGTAGTGGGACTGGCGTCGACGGCCGTCGGAC